ACTGACTCACACACACACACCCACACACACACACACACACACCCACACACACACACACACACACACACACACACACACACACTACGATAATCGTACGATCGCGGGATTTCCCGCGATTATCGTACTGTGTGTGGGCACCCTTAGAGTCTTGGTTGGGGTAAAATCAAAAGACGGTTCAGGCGTGGTTGCTGACTGACTTGCTTTGCCTGAATAGTCTCAGGACATCAGTCTTCCAAGATTCACTTACAGAAGTTACATGACCACCACCCTGGCATTGGTCAGGTGACTGGAGTGGCCCTAGAGTGATCCAGGTTTAAACTTGTTAAATAAAGGAAGACATTTCTTTGGTTCCTTTTTTATTTACTGACGACATGGAATTTATTCATTTTGTATCCAGTTTTGGACAGATTAGGGAAGAGTTAGAACCTCAGCCAGGCTTGTTTTGCTAGATATATATACGAAGCAGCATCATACCAATGGTCCTGAATAAAAAAATTCCTCTCTCTCTGTTGAAGTTTAATGGTTTCATGGTCTGTAGATACAGACTGATACTCTGTCTGAGCATCTTTTCGCTGTTTGATAGGAAAGATAATTAGTAAAGAAAACCCTTTGTCCTGTATGACACCAATCGCATCATTCAGATTGATTCTAGGTGGGCCTTTATAATATCGATATAGAATTCTTCTTCTAATGAGTTTTATCTTTAGACTGATACTCAGTTATAACGTTCCGCTCTCTTATCTTTTTCTCTGTAGGGGAATCCATACCCATCCGGCTGTTCCTTGCTGGCTATGAGCTGACGCCAACTATGAGGGATATCAACAAGAAGTTTAGTGTGCGCTATTACCTCAATCTAGTGCTCATAGATGAGGAAGAGAGACGTTACTTCAAACAGCAGGTACGTGTGGAGATTGTAGGCCGCTCACTAATGGTATTATGGTCATGTAAAGTAAGGGTGAGGTATAGATCTACTATCACTGGGCAAAGACCTCTCCCTTCCCCCATCCAAATAATCTACAATTCCTTCTCCTTCCCCTGTGCTCTCCCCCCCCCCCCCCCCCCCCCCCCCTCTCCCCCTTCC